AAGCAGTCTAAGTTAGATCTAGTTAAGATAATGTGCACATAACCTGAACGTTCTGTATATATATATATATATATATATATATATATATATATATATATATACTTTTTTTCAGTACTAAATGCATATATATTTAGTTCTTTTTACATATTGGTCATCTGTAATGTAAATTTGTTTACACACATATATATATATATATATATATATATATATATATATATATATATTGCTTTGCTATGGTGGGATGCATAAATTGAAAAATCTAAAATCCTACCTTAAAAACCTGGAAAATCATTCATGAAATTGGCTATGAATCCTGTATCTAGAGCTATAAACTTGTACAAATACTAAAACTGATATAATATGTTAAGTCTATTATGTAGCAGCATCATACAGACATCACATTTCAGGTATATTATATACCACTTTTAAACATAATGTCCATACTTTGTATTCACCCCCCCCCCCCCCCCCCCCTTTCCCAAAAAATTTATAATAAATGGAATGGCTCCAAATCCACACAGTAAACTCAGACTCAGGTGTACATCAAGGTACATTCTTCGGTCTCCTACTCTTTTAGAGAAAAATACTTATACTTAGATGGCTGCAGGTTACAAAAGTCTTATGTTGGTAAAATATCACTGTTCTGCTCTGTTTTAATGTTGTTCTTTTCCTACAGAGAATCCAGAGCTGTTCAAGAAGGAAGATGTAAAGCATGAACAGTTAAATGAAAACTTGAAGAAAGTCTTCGTGGAATCAAAAGATCCCATTGCTCAGGTAATTGACATAGTTCTGTTTCATCTTATAAGTATGTTTTCCATTGAGGGTTTGAAATAAGATCAATTCAAAAAGCTAGTTTTAAAGAAGACATTTCAATAAGTCTGTGTCAATGCAATTCTAGAGTGAGTTTTGAGTTTTTGGCACATCTGCACAATTTAGGCCATGTCATGCCCTAAATCGTTCAAGGATTACTCTCCTTTACAAGAGCTAAATTCCATACAGTTAAATCATTAAAAACAAGGTCTATTCACAGTTAAAATAGTAAAGGTAGTAAAAATGTAATAATTAGTAAAAATCTTATTTAAATATTATAGGGTCACAATTTCACAAATCAGATCTTTGTAGTCAACCCCACCTCCCAGACAAAGCCAAGTATTTATGCAATTCTAGAATCTAGCTTTGTTTTTCTTACATCAGAACAGTCAGATTTTTTCCAAGTGTTGCACAATCATTCTTAAGATGTCTTTTATGTTAACAAAACGGGCCTGCTATACAAGATGCCATGCTGAACACATGGATTATCTTATACCAAGCCCATTATAAACATACATTTGGATGCTCTATTGCTTCCAATATCTCTCACACTTCAGTGTAGGCCATTTCAACTCTTTCTTAATTAATTTGATCTGCATTCTTATTAAGAGAAATAGTTTCTTGTAGTTGCATGTAGAATGAATTTTTAAAGGTCAGGATGCAGGAAAATGCTTATCTTATCTTATATAATACAGACGTTACTTCAAAAAAGAAGATGATTACGTCCTACGCGCCATGCATTTAGTCATGCATATTAACCAATGACTTAAATTCTGCCAAGTCACTGGTTTTTCTGGCTAGCTCAGGCAACCCATTCCATGCTCTAATAGCACTAGGGAAGAAGGAGTATTTGTACAAATTTGTCCTAGCATAAGGGACGAGGAATGTGCCTTTATTTTTGTGTCTTTCAGAGTATTTTATTAAATTTTGTTTTTGTATTTGAAGATTATGGTTCAGTGTTTTATGTATAATTGCTACTTTACTTTTGAGTCTTCTGTCCTGAAGGCTTTCTAAATTTAGTGATTTTACTAATGGTGTTACTCTAGTCAATTGTGAATATTCGTTTGTTATGAATCTCACTGCTCTATTTTGTGTTTGTTCTAGTTTCTTAATGTTTTCTTGAGTTGAGGGGTCCCAAACGGTGGATGCATATTCTATTATTGGCCTAACCAAGGTTAAATAACATTTTAGTTTTATGTTCTTATTTGATTTATAGAAATTTCTTTTAATAAACCCTAATGCTTTGTTTGATTTTTTGATAGTTTCATCAATATGGGGATTCCATGACAGTTTTTCATTTATTATAACACCTAGGTATTTTGTGTTTTTAGTCTGTGTTACTGGTTTGCCATGAATAAGATAAGTGGAATTAATTTGTTTTAGTTTTTTTGTTACTCTTAACAACTGACATTTTTCTGGGTGGAAAGACATGCTCCAATTTGATTCCCATTTCTGTAATTCATCTAATTCTCTTTGTAAAATATCTGTGTCTTGTGTTGTTTTTATTGTTCTATATATTATGCAATCGTCTGCAAATAATCTGACTTTTGTTCTTGAACTAATGCAATTTGGAAATCATTTATGTAAATTAAAAATAGTAGTGGACCCAAGACTGTTCCTTGAGGTACACCTGAGTTTACTGTTATTGGTGTTGATTTAGAGCCATTTATTATTACAGTTTGTTCTCTCCCTATCAGAAAATCTTTAATCCACTGATGCAGTGGACCATTAATGCCGAAATATTTTAATTTTTTAAGCAAACTATGGTGGTGAACTTTGTCAAAAGCCTTGGAAAAATCTAGTAAGATAGCATCTATTTGTTCACTATTATCTAAACCTTTTGAAAAATCATCAATTAGTCCTATTAGTTGTGTTTCAGATGATCTATATTTCCTAAAGCCATGTTGGTATGGGGTGAGGACATTATTTTTGTCTAAGTGGTTTATGATGTTGCTACATATTATGTGTTCTAAGATTTTACATGTGATGCTGGTAAGTGATACTGGTCTGTAGTTTCCTGGATCAGATTTTTCTCCTTTTTTAAATAGGGGGGTGACATTAGCTTCTTTCCAGTCCTTTGGTACTCTGCCCTGGTTAAGCGATGCCTGAAAGAGTATTTTGAACACTGGTGCTGTCTCATTGCTTAGTTCTTTGAGTAATCTAGCTGGAGTACCATCAGGTCCAGACGCTTTATTTGGTTTGGTGTTGGCTAATAGTTTTTGAATTCCATTTTCTTGTACTACTAAATTTTCTATGTTGTCTACTTGGTTCAAATTAAGAAATATGTCTTTGTCTCCTGGGGCTGAGAATGCTGATGCAAAGTATTTGTTTAGTTTATTTGCTTGGTGTCAGGCTTCTGGTAGGGATACCACTATGTCATATGCAATGCTCTCTCAGACCCCTAAGTCAACTAAGGGGTTGCAAGATTAAGTTTTTTGGGCTGGGAGTTATCACTAAAGAAAGTTTGAGGAAAAACTACTTAAACTCTTTCAGTGCAAATTCTTTTGATACAAAAAAATGGAGTTTTCCGGAACGAACACAAATTTTCAAGTGGGGTAGAGTTACTAAAACAACTATAACTTTTTTATTTTATTACATTATCTAACATATTTGATTTTTTTTAAGGAAAATGAATGGGCTACAAAAGTATAGTAAATCAAATAAATTATTTAAACAAAAATGTTTTTCATTAATTTTAAACTGAGGACGGAAAAAGAAAATGTTTTTAAAATTCATAAAAAAATCGATATACTGAAAGATTTAACCTTTAATTAAACATTTAATCTATAAATACCGGTATTTAAAAAATCACAATACTAAACACATTTAATCACTTTAAATTTCATAAAAGATGAACAAATGCACTAAGAAATTTTAAGTATTATTTACATTTTTCGGGTCCCGGGAAATAAAGTAAAAAAGAGGAACCATTAACATAATGTTGTCTTTTTTTTTTAAAATTTACTATCAAAACAAAGAACAATCACTCCCACGTCCCGGAAGTTAAAAAAAAAGAGAAATAAAAAGTTTAACATAAAAAAGATAGTGAAATAAATATTATAATATAAACCAAGTTACTCGCTGAGAGTAATGACGCACTGAAAGAGTTAAATTATTTTAAACAATCAATACACTCTTTAAAATGATTGTGATTCTATTGATACACTCTTTAAAAGGATTGTGATTCTATTGATGCACACTTTAAAATGATTTTGATTCTAATACACACTTTAAAATGATTTTGAATCTAATACACACTTTAAAACGATTGTGATTGAGACACTCTTTCAAATGTTGATTCTATTGTTACACACTTTGAAATGTTTCTAAACACTTTCTTACTCTGTGTGAAAATATTTTTGTAATAATGGTTTTTTTTTGTCATTCTGTCTCTAGCCTTCAACTGAAAAAAAATCCCTTCCAATATCAAGACATCCTTTTGAAGATTCAGAGCTAGGTGTGATGGATGTTGATTATCCCATCCCAGAAGGCAAAGCCACTCTTCGAACAGTTTTTAACTTTCTGGGACAGCATCGGCTTAACCCTGAGCAGGTCACTGCATCCAGCATAGCCACTGAACACAAACTTGACTTGGCCAAAGTGGAACATGTTCTTAATCACTTTAAGATATTTAACTTGTACATACCTGACGAGATGATGAAGACGTCGAGCATGAGAAAAGCCGTGCAGCAGCAGTTAGAAATGGCTAAGTCTCATCCAGGGTTCATTCATGTTTCAGGTGTTCCTAAGCTTGCAGAGGCAATAGCCGACAAAGCACAAACTCTTAACAGTAACACAAGTGAATCACTGAACACTTCTGGCACCAAAACATAACAATAGTTGTTGTTTTTTTACTGAGATCTGTTTATATATAGATATTAACATATACAGTGGGCCTTCACTGCATTCACTACTTAGTCCAGGAGTCAACAAAAATGTTTAGACTTCATCCTTTTTAATGCTCCCAACACATATTGAGCTTGTGTAGTCAAAACTCCTGAGAACAATCTGTCACTTGGGCACTGAGATGAAACACAAAGGCTATGTTTAAAAGTTTTTTGTTTTCAAGTATTTTTTTAAATGGATAAACATCTTTTGAAGTAATTCTTTAATGCTCCTTCCATTCACTCCTTATTCACATCTTCTTCTAACCTGCTATTGCCGATGAACTTTAGCGTCTTGACTTTACCATGGAGAAAATAATATGCTATTCTTATCAGCTTTTCTATACTGATGTACAGCCTGTTAGTTATACAGTGTTGTTTAGATAATAGGGTCTCGCTATGGTGGATTAAGTTGGGACATTTTAAATAGAAATATCTGGAACTTTGGGTGTGTGGAATTTATTTTATTTAGATGGAAATTCAAAGCTGTGTGACATATTATAAGTATGCTTTTAATAAACTCAAATCTACATGTGGCTTGCAACTAAAGATCTAGATCAGTATAACAAGCTACATTGGGTTGAATGTACTTACACGGCTGTCAGTTTTTATGTATTCAACTGTTATTTTTTTTCTATAGACATATTTTTTTGCTTAACTTTATATAATACTAATCATATTTATGTAACTTGTATTGCAAGCAAGTCAACAAAGGATGAGAATATGTATTCATAGTGAAAATAGGGCAAATAAACAAATACATACACAAAATTATTACTATTTAATCTGCAGTTCATTATTTCTTCTTGTCTTGGACTCATGCTCCTCCACAATTACTACACTAACTGCAATGCAACTTCTCAGTGTTGCCTCAAGTCAGTAGTGCCTGAAGAATGATTTTCACATACATCTAGATATTCTGCCGCACCGCAGTTCCACAAACAAGTCTCCCTATCCCTAGGAATTTCCCTAAAATGTCTGCTTTCCTCAGTTCCTACACTACAAAAGTCCTCAGTGGTGACTACCTCATTACATTAAAGCATGAAAGGTGCCTTATAAGTATGTGCTTCAGTTTTGCAGAATTTACATTTCATAAAATATGTCTCACCCATTGTGAATTTTTTGCCAGTGTGCACAGTAAATATTGGTGCTAGAGCAGGTAACAAGGTTATATGACTTCTGCTTAATCTCTCCACTGAATAGTTAGTTCATTGAGTTCTTTAATTTACTACAATGCTTAAAGCATACTCCTGTTTCTATACTGTTGAATAGTATTGTACAAGACAGCAATTACTTCACACTAGTAACACATCCTTTGGAGTTTGAAATGTGATTGCATTAGTGAAGTTCCACTGAATATATTTTAACAAATTTAGTAATGTTGAATGTCATGAAATATTTTTGTTTTAAAGTTTGTACTATACAATAATAACTTATCGTATAGTGAAAAATTACATCTGTTTTACAAAGCATAGCTGAATTGTGACACACATTTACATTATTACGGTACTAAGAGTTGGGTTTAGATTTTGGCTGGGATTAGAAGGATATCAAAGTGAAATTGTTCCTGTGTATGTGATTTAGAAGTTTTGTTCTGTTTATTGATTAAAAAAAAACATCTTTGAATGATATTATAGATGCACTCTTTGCTGTGAATAACATTGTAAGAGTGATTTATAAGAGTGTAGTTTGGTTTGCAGATTTTATCTCAGTAAGTATAACTTTCTAGTGAACATTTTTCTCTTGATCTACATGCAAGATGTGCCAAACTCATGGCTAACTTTGAAATACCCGGTTAAGTCGACAGCCTCAACATTGTCTTCTTAAAATCCCAGTTTTACTTGGTCATTGATTCTTGAAAGTTTAAACCTAGTTAGTGTTTGCATAGAAAATATGAGCAAATAATTGTCATTCAACTACTGAGTCATGATTTATACACATAATTTTACTTATACCAAGGTGTTATTATTTATTAACATGAAGTTTTGTTAAAGTTTGATGTCATGTTGCTGAAATAAATTTGATTGTAATAACAAAACTCTTGACCTGCTTATAATTGGTATTGACATGTGAACAATGTGTACAGTATATAGGCAATGCTTTTGAAAGTGGTTCTGAGTTGGCACCTATTCCATTTTGTGTGAAGACAGTATCATTTCTTTAGCTTCCAATCTGATGAATAGGAAGATCACTGCTGGGTCCGCATGATATGCAGCTTAGCATTTCTTAAGATTCTGACATTAAGACAATGCTTTATAAATGATAAATATATTATATACATTTGTAAAAAAATATATAGTGCCCATATAGCTAAAATTGGGGGTGGGGGGGGGGGGGGTTAGTAACAAAAATACAAAAAAGCCATTTGTGGTCAAGAACTAAATATTTTTTTCTCTTTTTAGTTTTTTTTTTTTAATTGTTTTTAATTATAAATTATTGACTAAATTGTTTAGTTGTGTTACACTAATTAGGAAATATGTTATAAGAAAATATACCAGTTTTAATGTTTTATTTTTCCTATTTAGGTTTAGTGCTTGTGAATACTGGAGGGTCTTGCTGAGCTGCTTGCCCTATTTTTATAATAATAAATCGCTATTATCCTTGAGAAGTTAATCTTAAAACACAAACGAAGTCTACTAAATAGATCAATATATATTTATTAATATTTAAAACACAACTATAATGACTAAAGTACCAATACATTTGGTACTAGTAAAGGAAACAAATTTTGAAATATCGCTCTGGAGAATATCAACAAAGTTATCAACAATAAACAGTCTAAACTCTCTGTGCTGATACACAAAGTGCATAATGACTAAAGTACCAATACATTTGGTACTAGTAAAGGAAACAAATTTTGAAATATCGCTCTGGAGAATATCAACAATAAACAGTCTAAACTCTCTGTGCTGATACACAAAGTGCAGATCTTTTAAAAAAAAGAGTGAATCTTCTCTGCTATCTCTAGGCTGTGTATTGAAATCTTTTTCTGCTCCTCTGGAATTTTGCCTGCCAGGATGGCTGCGTAAAAGTTTTCCATGTCTCTCATAAAGAGTCCTGGGAAAAAAAAAATACATCATTACTTAAATGCTTTTTTTTTCTTAATTGTAGATAAGATAATTTTTTATTATCTTATCTTATATAATACAGACATTACTTCAAAAAAGATGATTACGTCCTACGCGTCATGCATATTAACCAATGACTTAAATTCTGCCAAGTCACTGGTTTTCCGGCAACCCATTCCATGCTCTGATAGCTCTAGGGAAGAAGGAGTATTTGTACAAATTTGTCCTAGCATAAGGGACGAGGAATGTGCCTTTATTTTTGTGTCTTTCAGAGTATTTTATTAAATTTTGTTTTTGTATTTGAAGATTATGGTTCAGTGTTTTATGTATAATTGCTACTTTACTTTTGAGTCTTCTGTCCTGAAGGCTTTCTAAATTGAGTGATTTTACTAATGGTGTTACTCTAGTCAAATGTGAATATTCGTTTGTTATGAATCTCACTGCTCTATTTTGTGTTTGTTCTAGTTTCTTAATGTTTTCTTGAGTTGAGGGGTCCCAAACGGTGGATGCATATTCTATTATTGGCCTAACCAAGGTTAAATAACATTTTAGTTTTATGTTCTTATTTGATTTATAGAAATTTCTTTTAATAAACCCTAATGCTTTGTTTGATTTTTTGATAGTTTCATCAATATGGGGATTCCGTGACAGTTTTTCATTTATTATAACACCTAGGTATTTTGTGTTTTTAGTCTGTGTTACTGGTTTGCCATGAATAAGATAAGTGGAATTAATTTGTTTTAGTTTTTTTGTTACTCTTAACAACTGACATTTTTCTGGGTGGAAAGACATGCTCCAATTTGATTCCCATTTCTGTAATTCATCTAATTCTCTTTGTAAAATATCTGTGTCTTGTGTTGTTTTTATTGTTCTATATATTATGCAATCGTCTGCAAATAATCTGACTTTTGTTCTTGAACTAATGCAATTTGGAAATCATTTATGTAAATTAAAAATAGTAGTGGACCCAAGACTGTTCCTTGAGGTACACCTGAGTTTACTGTTATTGGTGTTGATTTAGAGCCATTTATTATTACAGTTTGTTCTCTCCCTATCAGAAAATCTTTAATCCACTGATGCAGTGGACCATTAATGCCGAAATATTTTAATTTTTTAAGCAAACTATGGTGGTGAACTTTGTCAAAAGCCTTGGAAAAATCTAGTAAGATAGCATCTATTTGTTCACTATTATCTAAACCTTTTGAAAAATCATCAATTAGTCCTATTAGTTGTGTTTCACATGATCTATATTTCCTAAAGCCATGTTGGTATGGTGTGAGGACATTTTGTTTGTCTAAGTGGTTTATGATGTTGCTACATATTATGTGTTCTAGGATTTTACATGTGATGCTGGTAAGTGATACTGGTCTGTAGTTTCCTGGATCATATTTTTCTCCTTTTTTAAATAGGGGGGTGACATTAGCTTCTTTCCAGTCCTTTGGTACTCTGCCCTGGTTAAGTGAAGCCCGAAAGAGTATTTTGAACACTGGGGCTAGCTCATTGCTAAGTTCTTTGAGTAATCTAGCTGGAATACCATCAGGTCCAGACGCTTTATTTGGTTTGGTGTTGGCTAATAGTTTTTGAATTCCATTTTCTTGTACTACTATATCTTCTATGTTGTCTACTTGGTTCAAATTCAGTAATATGTCTTTGTCTCCTGGGGCTGAGAATGCTGATGCAAAGTATTTGTCTAGGATGTTTGCTTTAGTTTCATTATTTATTATGTTATGTTCATCTTTTAATGGCGCTATGCCTGTTGTTTCCATTTATTTATTTTGTTTGATGTGTATTTAGTTGGTATATGATTTTTTATAATGCTTTTAAGATGGTTTTTAATGAAATTCCAGAGGTCATCGACTGGTTGGGTAATGTCTTTTTCTAATAAGAATGTTTGTTGAAAGTTTAATGCAGCTTGGTGTAGTTGTGTTAGGTTAGATTTATTCCAGAGTAAGATTTTTCTTTTGGGTTTTGAATTGGCTACTGCTTTTATCTGACTGTGTATTTTTATGATCTCATGGTCTGATAGACCAGGGTGGTATCATAATCAACTACTAATCCAGGTCTGTTGGTTAAGAAGAGATCTAATGTGTTGTTTAATCTAGTTGGCTTTTTAATGATTTGATCTAAACTTAGGTTGTGTAAAGTTTCTATGAAAAGCTCATTTATGTCCTTAAGGTTTTGGTGTTTATCTATGGTTAGTGTTTTCCAATTTATATCAGGTAGGTTGAAATCACCCATAAAAACTGCATTTTTATTTCTCTCTTTAAGTGTAGTAATCTGATTACATAGTTCCTGCATGTATTCTAAACTAGAATTTGGTGGTCTGTAAAAGCTGCCTATTATTAGGAGTGCTGAGGTGGTATTAATTTTACAAAATGTTGATTCTATATTTTTTTAGTTAGGTAAGGTAATTTCTTCTGCTATAAGAGTGTTTTTTATTGCTAGAAGAACTCCTCCATGATTATCAGCCCTATCTTTTCTAAAAATTTCATAATTACTATTGAAAATTTCTGCATTATAAATTTTAGGATGTAGCTAAGTTTCTGTTCCTGCAATTATGTCTGGTTTCTCACATTCTAATAAAATTTCTAAGTCTGCTGTTTTGTTCCTAATGCTTTGAAAATTTATTACTAAGGTTTTAAGGTATTGGTCAAATCAAATGGAAATTCAGTTTGACTACAATTGACCTCTTCAGCGTAACTACTGTAACAATAACAATATTGCTGCAAATACGAAAAACATTCACACACGAAACACATAGACAATCACAACCAGCGCTTTTTGAATTAGACTTCTATGTACTTCTTGATGACAAAAGATTAGCTAGTAACACTCTGACCAAAAGTGGGATAAAGGAGTTTTTATATCTTTCTGTTTTAGTCCTAACGGAAAGGAGATGACCACTTCGTTCAGATCTGATGTAACAGTGGTTTAATGGGTGCAGGTTGTCTTTACGAATGAATCATGTGTGTTTTGGAAAGGCATCTTTCATGAAAAATTGTAGAGCCTGCAGTCTGCTATTATTGGTACATACATATAATCAGTCTGAGAATGCTTTGAATTTTCACAAAATAAGTGTAACCTTTTTACTTCTACTTTAGATGAAATTAACTCAGACATGTTTAAATGTAAGATATTTTAGAAATTGCTAATCAAACTGATTGATGATGGGTCTGCAAAATTTAAAAATGTTGCATATAACTCCTTGAAAATCATAGCCAGGGAATTCAAAACCATGTAAGCAGCTAATGTAACCAAATAATTTATTCTCTGAAGCCAACTACTGACCTGGTTTGGACATCTTCTGCTCTAATTTATCAGAATCCAAAACCTCTCCATCCTCAAATTCATAGATAGTGTGCTTCTGTCTGCCCATTTCATTGGATTTAAATCTGCTAAGTGTGATAGACATAGGCCTGGAGACAAGATAAAAGGTAGGTCAGTGCATCATATATTCACCACATTTACACAAACAGACCTCATTTCCTAATGACTTAACACACTGAAGACAACCAAAAAAAATGATGTGTCAATGGATACTTCAAGGTATTGTTACTTAAGTTTAACTAAGAAATAAATGTTTTTGAGGAATCTCTTTAAATTAATCCCTAAATTTAAGAGTGATTTCCATTCCTGTCTATGGCTCTTTTTTTTTTTTCTAAAAAAGGAAACATTAATATTTGGTGCTTGCTACATTACAAATATTTCTTTAGTTTATATAAAACTTTATAGGAAGGAATGTTTTGTTATTTAAATTGGATGCTACAAGTTAAACAGCTTAAAATCATAAATTGACATAAACTGAACCTATAATATATAATTCTGTAGCTGTCTAGAAATGTCACATTACTATAATTTGGCCTTGAATTTCTATTTTATTAAAACCAACATCTGATATTTAAATAAGAACAAACATCTACATAATATTAATGGATTTTCTAGAGATAGTTAAAGTTTAAAAATTAAACTT